ATTTAGTTAAAGAGGTCCATGGGTATGCAATAAGGAATAACGTTGAGTCACATCCTCATTTAAGGAGTGCCCTAGTGGAAGCATATGGGCGATGTGGGTCTCTGGATAACGCACGTTATGTGTTTGATGGAATGCATAAAAGAGATGTAGTTGCTTGGAGTAGCTTGATATCAGCCTATGCACTACATGGGGAGGCAAGAGCAGCACTTGAAATATTCACACAGATGGAGCTGCAACGAGTGGAACCTGATGGGATTACTTTTCTTGGGGTGTTGAAAGCTTGCAGCCATGCAGGATTGGCTGATGAGGCACGGATGTATTTTGCTCAAATGCTAAAGGAGTATGACGTGGAAGCTACCAGTGATCACTATTCGTGTTTAGTTGATGTTTTAAGCAGAGCAGGGAGATTACATGAGGCATATGAGGTTATACAACAAATGCCAGTGAAGGTGACTGCAAAAGCTTGGGGTGCCCTTCTTGGGGCTTGCCTAACCTATGGGGAGGTGGAGCTTGGTGAGGTTGCAGGAAGAGCCTTGTTTGAGATAGAGCCTCTGAATGCTGCACATTATGTACTTTTGGCCAAAATATATGCTAGTGCAGGGAGACATGAAGAAGCTCAGAAAATGAGGAGAGAAATGGATGAGAGGGGAGTGAAGGTAGCACCTGGTAGTAGTTGGTTTATATGCCAAAACTGAGGGTAGATATTATTCTTAAAACAGTTTTTATGTCATATAAAACTGTTACGCCACAGAAAATGTTTGTAAAGCAGCTGCCTGGTTCAAACATGAGAAAAAGATGGTAAACAATTTTTCAATAGAAGTCCCGAGATATTGTAAAGAAATGAACTATTCCTCTGACTAAGAGCTTGCAGCCTGCCAGTATACTATTATATTATCTGCATTTACTCTGAAGAGCAAATTCGGAGAACAGATATACATGAAACAGAGACAGATTACTCCACTTCATCATGCAAATTGCACCAAGGCAAGTGCCAATTGATCTGTCCATTGAATTTTTGTCTTGGTTTTAAAACTGCATCTTATTTTTATAACTTTTCCTTTAATTTCGGCTACTTTTAACTCCTAAAAGACTTCATGTTTAATTTTTGGGATAGATTTTCTGAACTTTTTCTGCTTTTTAAATTGAAAAAACTTCTATTATCTAAAATTGTTTACGATTTTTAAACAGATGTATACAGACAAGCGAAACTACTGTGACCTTACCATGTTGTATCTTACACTTTGGATCTGTTGTATTATGCAAGGCATCATACTAATGGGTGTCCTTAGGATGGATTTTATGGTCAGATCAAGTTAGTCAAGATAGGAGAACTATGTAAATCTCACCAAGGCAGAATGGGAAAATGATGGAATACAAGGAAAACCCAGGAGAGAAATGGGGAGATATCTCTATATGTTGATATGTGTGCATATACTGTATGCGCGCGCATGTGTGTGTGTGTGTGTGTGTGTGTGTGTGTGTGTGTGTGTGTGAGAGAGAGAGAGAGAGAGAGAGAGCGAGAGAGAGAGAGAGAGAGAGAGAGAGAGAGAGAGAGGATAAACTTGGAGTTTTTTGTTCATATAGTCAGTTAGCTACTGAAAACACCAAGGTTCACTTAGTTTGCAAGTCTTGAAAATGCGGTTAGGCAGACCAATCCTAGTTGCCTTCTAGGTGTGCCTTCATGCCAAACCAAATGTCTTTTAGGAGGCAAGTACTGTTTGGCAATGATAATCTTTCTCTTTTCAATTCTCTAAGGATGTTCTTTAGAGTTTCACCACAACAAGCGTATGACAAGCTATTATATTCTTTCATTGAATAAGGACCAAGAAAGTCAACCAAAGTCCTAATTTGAAAATGCGGGGCAGAAGAACATTGAATCATCAGATTTCTCCATGGATGTTTCTTTGTGTAAAATACCATTCTTGTTTGTACGTGTATCCTTTAGAGCACAGAAGTCCAGGGCCTGCATTGTCATAAATCATGTTTCCTGATACGTTGCTTTTCCTTGTTCATTTGATATTTTGATGATATTGTCTTTGTTCCTCTAATTTATTGAATGTTATTAGCATTGTAAGTCATAAGTGCTATTTAGTGCTGTATTGCTGGTATTAATCCGCAGTTTCTTATACATACAACCAAGACCAAATTCATGAACCAGAAATTTGATTTTTTTAATCCAATTTATGGCTTGAGCACATCACTTCGAATCACCAAGTTGAAAAATTTTACAGAAACCGCACAACAGAGTTACCATTGGAGAATATTATCATTTGTCAGAGGTTAAGCCTGGTATATTTATGTATTTTGGCTTTGCTAGAGTGGTACAAACTTGCTGAATATCATTCAAATTTCTCAGTCACTGCAGTTCAAATGAACCAACAGAACAGCAAAATGCTGATTCTCGTATTTATCCATTGGCCATCCAGTTATCTCTGTTAAATAAAGTGAAGAATATTATTATGCTGAATCTTCTGAACTTTGCTGCCCAGCCTTGCAGTTGCTCTCTCTCTCTCGTTTTTCTTTTTATTATTTTTATTATTTTATTATTTTTTTTGTGTCCTTTCATGAATGTGATGACTACGGAATTCTGGACACAATTGTTTTTGTTGACGATCTCACATTTATATCCTTTGTTGTATTATAGCTTCATGAGATGTAAAGTAGGTTCTAGTTGAAAATTTATTTATAGGCTTTCTTTTAGAACCAAAAGGTAATTAGGCATGAGCATTCTATGTTGATAGTAGGTCCCATCCTAATTGTAGCTGGTTTGATACATTGCAAGAGGAATTAATTTTTTTGATGGTCTTTTCCTCAATTCTTTTTCAGCTTGCTTTTATTAATTGTGACTTAGAAAGAGGTATTGTGCACATTCCACTTCTTGCAATTTCCAAAAGACTAATTTTCTCCCCTCTCATTTGTTCATACGTTTTTTTCTGGTGCGCAACTATTCCTGTAATTGTCAAACTCAAGAGTGTATTTGGACACAATGATTTTGTGAAAAAAAATATATTAAAGTGTGAGAATATGCGAGAATTTGGAAGAACTAAAATCGTCTCCCCACTCTTTTTTTCAAATGTTTTTCTGATGTACAACTGTTGTTGTAATTGTCATAAACTAGAGTGGATTTGGATGGAGTATTTTTTTGAAAAATATGGAGTAAGGGGTGAGAATTGGTTAAATGTGTTATGATTGGCCAGTCAATGTGGTGAGTAATTATAAAAAGTAAAAAAAAATAATGAGAAAGAATAGCATCCAAAAATATCATTTTACTTTTTCACTTAAAATCAATATTTTAAAAACTTGACCAGTGATCAAAGTAGTAAGATTATGAGGTCATAGTTTAACTGGTTTAAACATTGGTCAAACTGATTAATAATAATAATAAATATTTTAAAAAATAATTAAAATTTAATAAATTGAGTATAGTTAAATAGTATATTTTTATTTAAATTTTATGCAATACTCAAAGTTATAGGTGACATAGAAACATTAAAATATTTTTATTATTATTTGTTCATTTCAAAATTAAAATTATATATATAATTAAAAATTTTAAGAGACAATTTTTTTATAATCTAATTTTTACTAATTTTATATTCTTTTTAATTTTTTTATACTTAAATTAAATGAAACACCTTGTAAAAAAATTATTAAAAATATTTTTTGAAAATTTTTTATACCCTTAGATAAAAGTTTTTAACATAATTAAATAAAGTAGAAACTACTTTTTTTTAAACTTACAGTTATGTCTTGGTGACGAGCCCTTCTTAAATTTCAAAGTCAAATTTAAAGTTTGAATTAACTTTATGCAGAGGGAGAGGGGGGGAGGAGTGCTCTGAACCAATTTCTTAAATTTCAAAGTCAAATTTGAAGTTTGAATTAACTTTATGCACAGGGAGAGAGGGGGAGGGGTACTCTGAACTAGGGTGTTCAACAAACCGAACCAAACCGATTAGACCGCATAAACCGAACCAAACCGTATGAAACCGAACCAAACCGTAGAGTGTGATTTGGTTTGAATTTGATGTTTGGACAAACCGTATGAAACCGAACCAAACCGTATAGCTTATATATATACAAAATTAAAAATTTTATCTTTATTATATAGTATATTTTTATTGTTTGACTATATGTTTTTTCTTTTTGTTATCTTTTATGTTTATATTCATTTTAATAATGGATTATTTTTCTTTTTTAGAGTGTAATTTCTGTTAGTAATAGTGAAATTCTGTAAAATGATATAAATATATTTATTATAAAATGTATAACTACTATAGTTAATTAATAAATAATGAATTTATTAAGTTAAACATGTTGGGAAAAAAATAGATGACCAATTTTTAGGAAAATTATGTTAAAATTTTTATGAAAATAGTGAATTTAATTTATTTTATTTTGTAAATCACAAACCGTGGTTTGAAACCGAACCAAACCGTAAACCGTGATTTAGTTTGGTTTATAAAAATTTCAAACCGTAAAGTATGGTTTGGTTTGGATTTGAGCATCAAACCGCACCAAACCGAACCGTGAACACCCCTACTCTGAACCAAATTTAAAAATCGGTAAAAGTTGGCCATGAGTTTAATTTATTTATAGTTTTAGAGTATCATCTAAACCATTATTAAGCTAGATTCTAGTTGAAACGGTCAAATTAGCCAAAAATAGAAAATCTAAATTGAACCATATTCACCACTTGAATGAACTACATTTTCAATTTACGAAAGGACAGTGAACAACTTTACTACGTTGATATAAAATTTAGAAACCCAAACGCGTCCAATTACAGCCCTAAAGCTATTCTTCGACCAAAAATAGAAAAATAAAAAATAAAAACAAACAACTCCCAAAAAATATATCACCAGTAGATGCAGTATTGCCGGATAAAAATTGTTAGGGAAAACACCAACCAATTCATTTGCATTCTTTGTAATGTCCTTCCTGGATAATCAACATCCTCTTCCCTATATAAGCAACTGTTCACTGGTTTCTTCCTCTCCAGCCTAGGTAAGAAAGACCAGAACAAATAGAACAATGAACAAAACAACCAAGAACAATATCATCATGATCTGTCCCTTAGCTCCAGCCTTCTTCATGACCATGGCCACCTTTTTCTGCAATAGATTTTTTTTTAAGGAAAAGAAAACAAGAGCAAACATTTAAAAAAAGAAACGAAAAGAAAAGAAAAGAAAACTACTGGCCTAGTTGGCTTGTATTTTTTTCTTCAGCTTTTTTGTTCAGTTTCCATTTTCTGTATTTTCAAAAATTGAAAATGCTTAAAACATTGAAAATGCTATTTCATCATATTGTCTTCATATTCACACAAAAATAGCTCATGAGAATTTTGAAAACGTTTTGTTGTTTTTTGAAAGAGGCCTGTTTTTTGAAAGTTCTCCTGAAAATTCTTTTCAAAACAACTTGTCAGATGAGTTTTCAGTTTCTTAAAACAGAAGATAGTCTGCAGAAACTAACTTAAACCAGCCCTAAATTTCAATCTTAAAATGTCAGCTAAGTGTTAAAATTATTTCCTTCTGAAATCATGTTCATTAAACTCACTATCATCCTGAATCTTGAAAATGAAATCCCTGTTTTAGCAGGATATCCTAGCAGTTTTTCAAGAAGACAGATTGCTAAGCAATTATTTCAATCCAAACCCATAAGAAAGCAATCACCTGAACAAAATCGAGACGATTGGATGTACTGTCCATTTCCATACCCAATTCATCTATAATCTTCTCCTGTAGTGGCACATTATAAACATAGTTGAGCTTTCCAATAATCAGCAAATCAAACTTACCTATAACTTTACTCTTAAGCTATAACTACAGTTTTAGAAGGTGAAACTTGTGCAAGTTCTCAGGTATGAGACAAATGAAGCTAGGGCAGATTACTGAAAACATGAAAATATTTCCAAGAATTATGGCCCAAAATATGCTTACTTGTGCAAGGAGCTCTTCATGTATAGTAAGCCCAACGCCTCCAATTCTCTCCACGCTTGCACTAAGCTCATCTAGCTCCTCATCTTGTTGCCTGCAAGCACCGATATAATCAGTAGGTATGAGTTGAGAAACTTGATATTCAGAAAATCTAGCTTTCTAAAATGGCCTGTAGCTTTCTTTGTGTTGGAAGCATTAATTTCTGGACTGGTGATAGTAAAAATTGGAAAAAAACAAAAGTTCAACTGCTCAAGTGTTATGATCAGGCAATTTTCAAAATTAGCTCAAACAATAGAATGAAAGAACAAATCATCTAGTAACTCTAAGTACCCAATTAAATTCACAGAGAACTGCACAACTGAATTTGAAAGTGAAAGCAAAGACTAGGAGATGTGACAAGGAAGCATAAGTGCAACTTAAAATATACACAGAGAAAAGGGTGTATACTTTATAAGAAGCATTTGTCTGTCTGATTCTGATGCTATGAAATCATCATTGTCCTGATGAGCATATTGCTTGGGTTTTTCAGATTGATGAGAATCTGGTAGCCTCATGAGTTCGCGGTGCATTCCATTAATGTCAGCACTGCTAGCACCATAAAATTCCCTTCCAGCACCTACTGCTTTTTTAACATTTCCAACCTAAGAACAATAAATAACTTTTAGCATATCCTGAAACTCCAGAATGCAAAGCCTCAGTATGAAATACACCACAATGATACCTGCATCCAAGCAGTGCTTGTCCATCTCTTCCTCTTGTCAAGCTCAACTTCATCAATCTTGTACCAAGCAGGATCCCTAGCAGCCACAGCAATTGCTTTGTCCAATTCATCCACCTTCCTATGAAAAAAGTAGATTGTCAGCAATGGAAAATAGAAGTTTCCTTCTTTCATGAAGCCAAAATCAGCAGAATTGCATGTGCAGAACAGGGTAGTACTTTTGTCAATTAAACAAGTTAGGAAGGCAATGTTAATCAAGATATAACAGAAGATCAAACCAAGCTCAAGAAATGTACAAAATTTTGGCTAAAAAGCCATGCGAATACTAAATATCCTCCATTATCACTCAAAAAGTGTAGGTATAGCATAGAGCTTTCACAGCAAATCAGTAGTAGTAGTAAAAACCAGATAGCAAAGCTAAAAAATTTTTGAAGCACACCTGCCACTCAATGCTGTCACAGTTAGCAAGTAGTTCCTTTGTCAAACTCTGTTGCTCTTGACTTGCCGCTGGGATACGCTCCCATTGTTGAAAAGTAGACAGCAAATTATCAATCTAATAGAGAGATTGCCAAAGCATTAGCAACAAATCCTTACAATCCACAAATGAGCAAATATGTAATTTCTTTGGTGGATTGATGCATGTGGAACTTCATGCCAAGTACACAAGAATAAGCAGACAAGAGAATAAAGTCAATAGACAGAGATCTGGTTTGAACTAATCTACCACAACAATTGGCACGAGAGAGAGAGAGAGAGAGAGAGAGAAAGCAGATTTGCAGATGGGCAATCCTTTTTTCATATTTTATACAATTGGGGTTGCGGAGAACAGTCAGTTTATACCTATCTGCTTTCTGCAAGAAGTGTTATTTAGGTATTTAAGAATCTTGTTTAAAGAACAGCATGGAGTATCACTCCAGGGATACAATAGTGTAATGGATAAGCTAGTAGATCTCCTCTGTTGAATAAATTTATAGTCCCAATTAATGCTTATTAATTCATTCACTTATTTATTTAGGAGGGCTGAGGAGGGTAACAATTCAGGTAAAGCAATCTGCTAAAAGTTTTTTACAAAATCAAACAATTTAAGACAGCTCAATGGTTATTCTCTTGTGAGCATATTTCTCATAAAAAAACTACACCATAATCTCAGGGTTGCTAAAATAAAGCTGGAACGTGTGCAAGAAAAATAAGGACTTAAAAGAGAAGGTATCATAATGAATCTCACAGTTGTATAGCCGTATTTATCAATTCCGTAACCAGAAAAATTGATGAGTACCATGCGTAAGCTTTTACTTTGCCATCCACATTTATTCACATGTGTAAAAATTACAAAAGGGAAGAAAAGGAAGTAAGACCAGAAATCTGAGACTTCAGTTTGCTTGCCAGTATTCTGTGAAGTAAGCACGTTAACTTGAAACTTAGGTTAAACATCATCAATCGGCATTTTAAGTTAAATATACATCCAGCAAACTGTTTGATAGGGAAATATTTTAAAGTTGCGTTGAAATTACAAGGAAGGATAATATTACAAACTTACAGATTCTTGAATCTCTTCCTTAACAATGTAAAATGGATCCTGAGCTGACGACATTTTATATTCTATGACATAATAGTTACCTGTAACCACCAAGAAATATTAAATTGGATTAGCAAAAGGACATGCTGGTAATGAGCAGTTGTGTTTCTATGCATTTTTTACACGAGACTACTTAAAGACTGAAATCTACTACTTTGAAGCATTTAACAGAAAGAACAACTTTCATAAAAGTTGTTGTCATTTACAATTAAAGCTCTGGGACAATGAAACTAAGCCATAGGAAAGTGTGAGTACATACATAAAAACACACACACGTATAATGATTCAGGGCTTACAGGTTCTTCAGTTTTTCTCATCTCGGTAAAAAATAGGAGACCGATAACTCCACTTCCGTGAATGTCGCAAAGAGAATATCAAAACAATCTAAGGATTTTGGGGGAACTATCACATTCACCAAACTCTTCTCCTATTTCCAAAGATCTAAGTAAACCTTTAAGAAAATGCCAATTTTCACGGACCTACTTTTAATCAACGGCTGAAATGCCCAAATCAAAGCTAGATCTATATGAGGAAAGCTATTACGTGAAAAGAAAATGCCAGAAAGAACATTTTCATCCTCTTGCTCAGACAATTCTGATTGCTTCAGGGTGATGCCGCTATAAAGAAACCCGGAAAGAAACTTCACCAATTATGTCTACTTTACAAATTGAATTAAGTCTTTCATATAGTTTTATTCAATTTTTTTGCAAAGCTGATTCAAAGTATCGATTCCTTCATCTGCTTTATCAACATCTTAGAAAATCAATGTGAATGGAATGCAAAAACAGTGCTCATCGTCCTATAACCAGATCGAACTGCCTTTGCTGAAATACATACATACATACATATATATATATATATATATATATATATAGGGTAACAGCTTTGAATACGAAATTCAGGCACTAACCTTGCGAGGCGGAAGATCAACCAATTCGTAGACAAAGCGGATCAGTGAGGAGGGAGATCAACAACTGAAAGAGAGACTGTTCATGGAATGTCTGTTTATATCCGTCCAATTTAGTGCTGAACTCTGGCAGCTTGCTTTGTTCTTTCAGCCAACTAAATATGTTTTATAAGCCAAATGTTAAATATATTTTTTAGAAAAGTTATATTTATTTAAATATATTTTTCCGAAAAATTATATTTATTATCTTCTATCACTTTTTTAAAAAAATTTTTTAAAGACATAGAGGCTTGTTGGAAAGGGTGAAGAGGTTAAATCTCAATAGGATTTTGTCATTTTTATTTTAATTAATATTAATAAATTTTTTGGATAAATTTCATAATTTAGAAAATTTATTAAGTATTTAAATTCTCAGAAAAATAATTATTTTTATTTATATTAATAAATTGTTGGGATAATTTTGATAATTTAGAAAATTTATAGAGTATTTAGATTTTTAAAAAAAATGTCAAGTACTCGATAATTTAAATTACTTCGTAAGGTCAAAACTTAAATATATTTTTATTCGTGATAAAAAAAGTCTTGGAAAAGGCATTTTACATACTTGAAATAGCTATGTTATTAAATAGATACATGCTTATAAGTTATAAAATATATTTGTATGATTTAACTACATATATACAAACTTGTAAATTTCTATAATATACGAGATATTTGTGTATTTATAAATATATATTTGTGTAGTATTAGGATCATTTTGGGAATGTAAAATGACTTTAATTGAGCAATTTTTTTCCTCTAACCTCAAACAAAAATATTTTACATTTTAACTTTTGAAGTAATTAAAATTATCATCTCGTCCTGCTAAGTAATTTTCCCTTAATTATAAGTAAATCTCATCACTTTTGCTTTGTAAATAAAATCATATTTAATGAATAATTTGTTTATATTTTGAAGGGAGTTGTGAAGACTTGATAGTTATCAGATTTCTAGACTTGACAAATGGATTTGGGTTTTTGTTTTTGCTTTGAGAAGAAATTCAAAAATTAAACTTTTTTTCGTTAATTTATTATGTAACTTTTATTGGCAGTTCAAGAACGCTCAGCCTAATTATTGTAATTACGCTTTAAGAGTCCGATTGCATAATAATTTCTCAAGGTTTTGAATACTGTTAATTCTAGTTAGAGACAGTAGAGACGAGAGATAGAAAGGCTAGCAGATTGAGGCCTCCTGATCAAGACATAATCAAACTTAAGTTGGATGTGGTGATGGGTGGGATGACAGAAGCTGCATTTTCTAGCACAACTACTAGAAATGATTGAGGGTGGCAAAAAGCTCTTGCTTTCCTCATAATTCAATATATGTGGGTGAGGCTAATACTTTGAGAGGGAGGCTTGCGTGGATAGTTGACAGTCTTGGAGTTTAGAAAGATGGCTTTGAATCAAATTTGGAAGATGGTGATTAATAGCATCCAAGATCTTGAATGCCACATGGGTTAAGGCCCGGGTTGTGAATAGAAATTTTAAAAAAATATATTTGATAAATATTTTAGAATTGAAAGTCTGATTTTTTTTAAGTAATTAAAATTTTATAAAATAAAGTAATTTAGGGTGACAGAATTTAAATTTTATCATTATCTGATTGTGTAATTATCATCTTATTCCTTATTTTTGTAGGTAATGACAAAATTATTTTGAATATGTCAAAAGTTATAAATAGTTAGTATATGCTGTTTTCATTTATTTTCTTAAATTTAAAGAATGAATTATTTAGTTTGAAATTTAGTATTTTAAGATTATAATATAATGTTTTTTCTTATTTTTTTAGTATATTTATAATATATTACAAGTTAAGATTCATTTAATTTTAAATATTTTTAACAAAGGATATTTTTACCTATAAACAATTATTTTTGTTTCACTTTCTAATTCTGTTCCAACATACAAATACAATAATAGAATATAAATTTTTATTCCCCAAGCTACTCCCGAAGCTCTAAGCCGGATTTGGAAGTTTTCAGTGTCTTTTGCTCCTACGTCTGCAAGGACAATGACCTACAAGATTGCTCTGATGATGGCAAAGAAGATAAACCTTGATCCAAGCTAGTCCTTGATTGTCTAAACTAGGTTTTTGTTCTGTTTGTCTCTCTTTTTGTGTCAGTTTTGTGGGTTCTGATTGGTTATAAATTTTATTCTTGGCTCAAATTCTCCCATAGTGAGAATTTGATTGGTTAACCAGCAGGGAGTAAGACTTCTCCTGGTCATAGCCAAAGGATTAAAAAAAAATAATGAAATTATAATGCAGATATAAAAGTTTGATCAAATATTTCCTAACTCACCTTTTGAAAAAGCAAATATTTAATTATTTATTTTAGGATTAGTCTCTTTCTCAACCTTTACACTTGTACAATTTTTATTTGACATGTGTGGCAAGATTTGAACCCAAACAGAGGCAAAAATTGTTAGGTTGGAAATATTTTTTGAACCCTTGTTACAAGTTTACAGAGATTTTGAATTTTGGACCATAAATCTTTATATATTCTAAGTATATTTACTATGTGTGCGTTTTTAGAAGTAACTTTTTTCAGAACTAACTATTATGAAAACAAAAGTTATTCTATTTTAAAAAGTACTTTTAAGCTATTTGAATGTAAAAATATAGAAGAATTTTTTTCTCATAAAATTATGGTAAAGAATATATTTACTAGTTTTGTGTATTTTTTTACCTTTTTATGGCCTTTGTTTGCATCAATCAAAAATATATTTAAGTATGTCCAATATTTTTTTTTTGGAAATATGTAGTAAATGATAAACATATGTGATTGTTTTTTTGTGGGAAGCAGCACATGGGAGGCAAAAAAAAAAATTAATAATAATAATAATAATTGTTTTTTATTTTTTAAATTTATTAATTTAATTTAATTTACATTTTTCTTTTCCCCCACTTTCACATTTTTCTATGTAAAACCCCTTGTCTTCTAAATCTATAATTGTCAATGGCCGAATTCCAGCCCAGATCATGGTAGATCCAGGTCAAAATCCGATAGTGATATATTATATTCGAATTTAATCTAAAATTTTATATGATATGTGTTTAATATTACTATATCTGAATTTAAATAAAATTTGATATTCGAAGTAAGAATCTGAATCTAAATTATTAAATTATTGTACATTTATTCTTTTCTATTTTAGAAAAAATAATTCAAAACCCAAAAAGAAATTCTTGCCAAATGAATTAATAAATATTTTTTAAGTTAAAAAGTGTAATATAAGCACGTTTGATCCGTCATAGATATTAGATTTGTGACAAATTTATTGATAATATATAACAATTACATATAATCCATCAATTTACATATTTTTTACTTTTATTTTTATAAAAAAATAAAATATATTTCTAATTTTTTATAAGAAAAATAATTTATTAATTAAAAATTAATAAATTAAGCCTATATTGTGATTTTAACGTCATATTACATATCATATATATTATATATATAATACACATACATGTATATATATTTCATTTCATAAATTTTTATAACCAAATTATATTTATTAAATTTTTTATTAGTCAAAAATCTAAATAATTTGGTCAAATTCTTGTTGAATTGCTTCATTGATAACTTACCAGTCTCCACCTCTTAATCGTTTTTATTTTTTTTATTTGCTTTTCTATTCCTTCCTTTTTCTTGCTCAATTCAGTCTCTGTTATGTGTCATCAGGCTTGTTTGGTAGGAAAGATAAAGGTGGATAAGGATAATTTATTCACACTTATTCTATTCAGATTCATGTTTAGTAGGTCAGATAAAACAGGATTTGATAGAGTTTGAACAGGAGAGAAATTGAATAATAGTAAAGCTAAATTCGGATAAACTATATTCAGGAGATGGGTAAAATAATTTTATTCGACTCCTACCTAACTTATTTAGACAATACTATCCTTATTATCAACGCTAACTGTCACTTTTACCACATCTATTAAATAAAATAATTATCTAAATTACTATATAATTATAATATTTTTATCCAAAAACTGTTATATCTTACTTTATCTAATACAATCTGATAAATCATTGTACCCTAATACTGATCATGGGTTGATTAGCTTTGATTGGTGTTGGTGTGCACAATCACAATCACAAGTGCAGTTGCAGCCCTTTCTCTTTCCACATTATCATCCCTTTGTGTTCCATTTCTCATAGATGAGCTTGAGAATCGAAGCAACAAACGACCGATTTGATGGCTTTGAGAAGGTGAAAGTCGATCTTTCGCACTGTTGATTTCATTGCCCACTCTTTTTAACCTGACCATGACAACTCCCCATCTCTCTCTCTCTCTCTCTTCTCTCAACTCCACCTCGTCCATCATCACCTCTTGTGAAGAGAATGGTGGACAACACCCGATGACAATGGAGAGTTGATCGAAAGACAGCTGGGAAGAGGACGCCAATTGAGAAGAAGATACATGAATTTGCTAGTAAAAGGGGTGAGGTAAGGCTCGTCATTTTAAAAATTAAGCAGGGGTACTTTTGTCTATACGATGTTGTTTCGCCTGTTGAAAATTTTGGCTCTCTTCTATACATATCCGTACTGGAGGAGTAGCTCCTACCAACTTTTGAAAAAAATTTATTTTTCTAATTTTATTCTAAATTGTATTTACTTAATAAACGCACTACTTTAGACCAAAAATTTTTATTACAAAAAGCTCCCATCCAAGTGGGCTCTAACTATATAGTAATTTCTCAAAAGTTTTTTGAAAATTTAAAAATTATTATTATTATGATTTTTAAAAGTGTATTATAACAATTTTTTTTAAGAAATTCCCATTGGAGTTTTAAAATTCAATCTTCTATTTTTTAAATCTATTTTAATATTTTTACAATGAAAAGCCTAAGTTTAAAAATCTTTCAGAATTAAGTGAAACAAGATTTGTTGAAATTTTTTTAAGGATAATATTTTTAATTAGGCTTTATCGCGTAAAATAATGAATTTTTTGGAACGCTTGGACAATGACGTTTGACAATAAAAATGTTTTAGACTTGCGGACATTTTAGTCACTTTTTGAGAATTTTAAAGACTTTTAAAAAAGAGTTTTGAAAATGCTTAAAAATTCTAAATTTTAATTTCTTTTTAAAAAATTCCTAAGATGATATATATATATATATATATTCACTTTTCTTATTCTCTCAAATTATAGATAAATAAAGAAAATACCTAAAAATATTCGGTTTCAATCGGTTCATCTTTTTGTTTCTGTTTTTAAATTTCACTTTCTGAGCTTTTGAAGTTTTCAAAAACAAAAATTATTGAAAATATGAAAAATACATTGCTTTCACTTAGTCATTATTTTCGATCAAAATATTTTAAAATATTTTCATGAAATTTTATCATTCTCTAACTTGAATATGTATTTTAATTTTTTGTTCCAAAAATAATTTAAAAATTTCCTAAACACATTTTTCATTTCAAAAACAATACTAAAGGCTACTGCTAAGACTGCCAATAAAACAGATTTTAATTTAAATTTAATCTTATTGTTAAAATTTTTAACTAGTAAAAAATTTGATATATATAATTCAATTAAAAAAGTCTTAAATAAGTAGAATAAATATGAATTTTGTCTAATTTGATTCGTTAAAAATTTAAATTCAAATATAAATATACATAAGTCCATATTGTGTACATAACTATATATATATATATAATATGATATGACATAATATTATATATAATACAATTAAATTTGTATTATTATTTTAAATATTAAAATTTAATATAATAATATTAAATATATATTTTATAAAATTTTAAATCAAATATCACATGTTGTTATCATGTTTAGAAGTACATCTAAATTTAAATCAAATTAATTAACAATCATTGCTACCAATGAGAGCACATGCCTTCGCCTCACGTTAAAGAGGAGGAGAAAACAAACTATCAATGGGCTTGGCCCATACCTTGGCGGCCGGGCCCAGCAGGCATAGTGTGTCATGTCAAATAACCCCGCGGGCATCCGAGTAATTTGAACGGGCAAACCCACCTAGGTTTGCCAATATATTAGAGACCCTCTGCTGGACTCTCCCCTTTGCCCTTCTTTGGGAAAAGACGCAGGACCGAAGGTCTCTCTGCAACAATGGTGAGCAACGATTCGCTCAAATCTTACTAATTTCGGTAATTTGTAGATGTTGCTGCTTGTTTTAATTCGCTGAAATCAAGCATCTTGTGAATGCAAACCTGTGCGCTCATTGTTTCTGGATTGGCCAAGTGCACACGTCGTTTGGTGGATGATAAAATGCTATAGCCGGAATGTGTTGGAAACATAGTTTTTGAACATACGTGCCTTTTTTCATTAGTGTCCACCTCACAGAGGACTTCGATCACTATTAATGTTTGGACTAACTGCGCAATTAAACATTTTTTTCGTCATTTCTTTAGTCTTTTTTTGTAGTCTCCAAATGGTCGAAGGATAGCGTATTTATTTATTTGTTGTTATTCTGTTGTGCATTTACTGTGTATTTCTATCTATCTTTGTGTTTTCCTGAGTCGATCTTCCTTTATTAATATCTCATTTGATTTTGAAGATAACCTTCAGTCATTATTTATTTATGTTCTCCTTAGTCTCCGGATCTGGTGATAGCATGTTAAGTAACTTGGTTTCTTATAATGTGTCACATTTATTGTTTTTGATTATCTTCAATTCATATCCTGTGATTTGTTTCCCCACACCTTCCTTATTTTTTCTTTTATATAATTTGTCGAGATGTAACATTTTCTAATGGATAGGAATTTTTAGTGGCTTTAGCATTTGATTTTATTTGGAACTTTGGGCTTTGTATGATTGGTTTTTGAAATTTATATCTCATTGAAGATGTCACTTGTGTCATTAGTATTTTGCCCCTTGTCCTAAAACTCCTTTATTTTTCACAGTCACTATTTCATATGATTAATTATGACTAAGAATTATTTGAGTGTGAACTTAATAAATTATGCAGTTTATCAGTTTAGTTTATGAGGAAAAAAATATAAAGAAGTGCCTTTTTTTAAACCTAAAATAACCTGTTAGACACCCCCTTCCCTCCTGTCCATCCAGCCCTCCATTACTTGCTTCTCTGATTAAGTGCTTAACTATCTTTTATCTATCTTTTCAGGCCTTTGTCAAAGCTCAAAAGACGAAGGCATACTTCAAGCGGTTTCAGGTCAAGTTCAAGAGAAGGCGAGGTATGGTTTTTGCTTTGTCATTTAATTTGGTTGGTTTTATATTTGTTTATTTCTTATTGTCTATTTAAATATCCTGCAGAGGGAAAGACTGATTACAGGGCCAGGATTCACCTTATTAATCAAGACAAGAACAAGTAAAACACTCCAAAATATTGCTTTGTTGTGTGATTTGTATCCATCAGTGTACCTACACTGTGCTGCACTTTCTGATATACTTTGTCATCTTAATCATCTATTCTTCTTCTAGTTCAATGCAATGATTGGAAATTTCTTATTTGAGTCTATCTTTCTTCATTTCATTTTATAAATCATGATAAATATTTTTTGAAATTCAATAATTTTTCCAGTGGTGATCATTTTTACCACTTAAATATTTTCCATCTTTTTTTAACGTGCTTGGCAGACAAACAAGGATATTATTGCTCAGATAACATCTGCTAGCATTGCTGGAGATAACTTCCTTGCTGCTGCATATGCCCATGAGTTGCCTCGCTATGGGCTTGAAGTAGGTCTCACAAATTATGCTGCAGGTATTGAAGCTCTCCTTTATATCAATATCCCGTCCTTTATCCATTCTCCCCTAATTTAATTAACCTCTTGATGCCTGTTGATGGGTATAGCTTATTGTACTGGACTTCTATTGGCCTGTCGCGTCCTGAAAATGCTTGAGATGGAAGAGGAGTATGAGGGCAATGTGGAGGTATGCTTGATGGATATAGAAATATTAATACATCTTTCTTGTTTCTGCTGGTTTTTTGTGTTATCGTTTGGCATGTTTTTATATTGTTAGGCAACTGGAGAGGATTTCTCAGTTGAGCCAGCAGAGAGCAGGAGGCCTTTCCGAGCTCTCCTTGATGTTGGCCTAATAAGAACCACCACTGGCAACCATGTCTTTGGTGCTTTAAAGGTATTTTTACAGCCATGTTACAGCACACAATGCTAGTTAAGCTATTTGAAATTATTGCTCCATTGAGAAGCACGTTATAGTATTGTTTTGGTTGTATGAAGGTGATTCTGTATCTTGGTCTTTTTAGTAAGGTTTTTGATTCTTCATCTGTTTTTGGTACTACTTAAGTTTATTGTTTGAGTGGGGTTTTGGGCAGGTCTTTGAGGCTATAGATTATTGGTTTTGGCTGGCTCACAAACCTGTCCAAATAACGTGTGTATAAGATCTGGTCTGGTTTTACTGGACATTGCTTGGACTCCTGGACCCATAACAATTCATTTGCCTATTAAATGTATCTCAACTTACAGACTCATATCAGCTGATTGCAGTGTCTGATTTTCTTTGTCTGAAGTCTGGGAATTTAAATTCCACTTAAATTAATGAATTGATATATAGAAATAAGTTCAATGGATAAAATCATGTCTAATAATGTATTTGATGGATGAACATGCAATTCTACATGTGGATGGTACTTGGAATTAGAAACTCAAAAATGTAAAATAGAGAGGTTGGTGTCAAATGAAGTTGTGCAGTGTATAACATTTTACACACTTCTACACATTTCTAGTCTTATGTATAGCACATGTTTGCATTTGATTGCAAAATGTTTGTGTGATTTTAATATTCTCTACAAAATAGATGGTTATGGATAATTAGTGATTGAAAACATTATATCAATTAATGAAATGGAAATACTGTTTGAGGTAAAATCGGGAGGCAATTCTTAATAAATAAGGAAAGAGGTAGAGGCAAAAAGAAAAGAATTATGCATCCAATTATGTTGAATTACTATGTTGGCAGAATTTCAAAGTTGTTAATATAGGTGTATACTGAACTCTTTGTTTTGTGTGGAAGAATTAATTCAGTGAATCACAAAAAGAAAAAAGAGACGTTTACATTTCCTTGTTTCTAAATAATCTTGTGAGAATTGTCATGACTGAGGAAACAAAAATAAAGATTGGACCAAATGGAAAATGATTTATTTTTATAAAACTTGTGTGTTTGATTGATGAATGTCTGCTTTAGTTCATTCTCCCACTTTTTATTACATTATGTCAACAAGGTTACTTGCCTTCTTCAATATTTCTAGTATCCACTGATTATGTGTTGATTTCAAAAACGTTGCCACTGCAATTATTCTTTAATTTTCATGTAAAATCCATACAGCTTGCGTTAAAATTATTGCAATTCTTCAATTTTACGATACTGTGTTATCTATTCTACATATGGAGCTTCCAGGTGGTAGGAAAATGTTGCTTTCATCTGCAATATGCTATTTAAATATCATTTAATTAAGAACGTACTGCTTACAAGTTTTATGATCACTTGATGTGAATTGAATTCATTCCTCAATTGATTTGCACTTCTGATTGGCTTAAGTTTTCATTTCTTTTTGTGCACAATCATGTTGCATATCATTATTCCATGATTTACCAGTTGCATTTCCTCTTATGCAATGTTCTAATCACAGGGAGCTTTGGATGGTGGGTTAGATATTCCTCACAGTGATAAGAGGTTTGCTGGTTTCTCAAAGGATTCTAAGCAACTTGATGCTGAGGTTCACCGCAAGTACATCTATGGAGGGCATGTGGCTGCATATATGAGGGTAACTTTTAGGCCTTAGACACACAGTCGTGTCTAGTTTGAGCCATGATAGCACTTGTTCGGCAATGGACTTGACTTGGTTTATTTTTTTTAGACTTTGATGGAAGATGAGCCAGAAAAATATCAGTCTCATTTCAGTGAATATATCAAGAAAGGAATTGATGCAGATAGCATTGAAGGGATGTATAAGAGAGTTCATGCTGCCATCCGTGCAGATCCCACTCAAAAGAGGTCAGAGAAACAGCCACCAAAGGAGCATAAGAGGTAAGCTCTAATATAGCTCAAATCATAACATGCTGTGCAAATTATCTGTCTTGTTCAGGTGATGTTGGTGGTGTTTGTAGAAGTTAGGTACCATGGGATGCTTTTATTCTAAATAATAACTTATGGGATTCTACAGGGCAGAAAAAGTTGACATTGCCTTTACCTTGTTCGAGTCATTATGTCTTTGTGCATCAGTTTAGCTGGCCTTTTTGAAGATACAAGGGCTGATTGTTATTCTCTGTGCTGGAGAGAATACTTTGGGGTGGTTTAGTTCCTCTTTGCAATAGGGCTAAATAGAAGGCTAAATTATTCTTGGGATGTTTGGTTGCATTTTACAAAGATTGATTTTGGGTAAAACAAGACCTTTCTTCAGGGCTTTGGAAGAACCCAGCTTAGTTGCAACACTGCTTAATCCTTTAAGTAGAGGAGCCCACAGACCAAACAATCCCTTCATTTTGGTTGTTGTCTCCTGTGCAAGGGAACTAAATATTTGGACAATTAATTTGGTATTGCTTCAATGTTGTTTTAGCTGCTGGTATTGATTTAACAATTTACATGCTTGACCTAGCAGTTCCATTATAATCGTTGGAATACTCCGTATCTTATGTGTCTTTGTCTTGTAAAATGGAGTTGTTGAAGGAAATTATTTTGGCTGGTCTGATTGGAGGTTTCTTATGCCATTACTTTGGATGGGTTATAGCCTTGCAGGAATTTATTTATTGGGCCCAATTGCTTGTACTTCTCTTTTTAGAGGAGTTGCAAGTTATTGGTTGACTTTCAACTAAATAATATAAGTGGTTATTAGGTCTATCGTTGTACCGCTTGTTTTCAGATGAGATTGGCTCATTCTACTCCTGTAATGCAGGTTCAACTTGAAGAGACTCACTTATGAAGAAAGGAAAGCTAAGCTGATTGAACGACTGAATGCCCTCAATGCTGCTGTGGGGCTGATGATGACGAGGATGAGGATGACGAGTGAAGTAATTTGTGCAGCATATGAGCAGAATGTCTTTTTGTTGTTTTAGTTTAAAACCTATTAAATTTTGTCTTCAATTGTTTCGAGGAAAATTTTCAAGCTGGATGATTTTCAACTAAATTTAGATAACCTTGCAATATTGGGAAGCCATTACTTTCTCAAGTATTTATGAAATGCAATATAATTTTTGATTGTCAATCTGATGTTTGCAGCAGCCCTTACTTTTCTGTTGGTAAAATGATGGTCAGCTTTATTATCATTTTTCTTCTTACTCTGGTCAGTCTGGATGGATGGAGGATTGTTGTTAAAATAGAGTTGAATTTATTTATGATTTTATAATGTAAAACTTCAAAATAGAGATCAGAATCAATAGAAATGAACTCTCTGGTAGACCAATTTCTAGATTTTCCTGGGACAGATTTCTACTTGCTGGCGGAGGCTTTAGATGGTATCAGGTTACACAGTCCATTGATAGATCATTTTTTTGCATAATTTTCTACGTAAAAATGGTAGCAGTTTTCATTTTCGTTCCATCTTAGAACCCTCAAACTTGTACAATTATGATCCACCCAACAGCTATAGAGGTAGCCAATCTCAGTTGCATCTCCAGAAGTGATTTCTTTGCAAAATTTGTGGTTTTTGGAGAGTGTTGGCTCGTCGACAAAGCTCTTACAGAGCTCTGGAAGAGTCTCATCCATCTGGTTCAACATGTGTTCTGTAGTGCATAGATATTTGTGTCACACTCGGTGAAAGGGGTTTTCTTTTTTTAAAGAAAATACAGGTAAAAGGTTTATAATCATGTAAATTTTACAAGGAAATATGCCTCATGGTGTGGTACACTTGTGAGAATAGATGAGCTTGAGGTGCATTTTCTTTGAGCAATTAATGGAAGAAGAGCCAGATTTGGGTTGTCCCTTTCAAATATGAAGTGGATGCAATTTGAGCCATTCTTTATTTCATGGATGGTTTAGATTTTACGAGGAAAAGGAGAGCCGTGTCTAGTTAACATAGAGATAGAGGGGGCGTCTTGATATGGAAGGAAGGATATGCTGCCAATCACTTAGCTGAGTGCCTACTTTATCTGTGGTTTGCTGAATTGTTAAATTATTGATTATAAGTTTTCATGAAATCTTCTTTATTTTCTTTTATAAACTACAAAATTTTTTTCTGTCACTGAAACACAACCCAAATAAAATAAAAAGAACGAAAAAAACAACAAATTGGAAAGGATGTAGAATGTTGATTCCACAATTCCCTTCCTTTTTTTTTTTTTTTTTTTTTTTTTTTTTTTTTTTCCGGGTGGGGGAGTGGGTGTGGAGAATGCAATCCACCAGACAATGGCATTATTAGGAGTTCAAAAGCAGTTTTCAAATAGTAAGAGCTTTTCCCAATAAAGGGTACAAGGGACAAGAACGTCTTTGGGCTTTGGTCTCTAAGATTGAAAAGAGAAATCCAAATTTTAATTTCAAACATCCAATATACTGACCTTACATTGGAGCTACCTATCCATTTGCACACACAGCTCCAAATTCTCAGTCTTGTAAGGATCATGATTAAATTGAGTTCACATATGCACGCTGGACTTCCCTGACTATTGCAAAGATCTGAGATAAAAGGATACAATTATTTCAATTTTGTGAAAGATTTAGACAAGCCTGCTTTATTTTCAGGACACAAACTTTAGAAGAAACACTACAACTGCCATTCATTGAAGTTTTTGTGAGATTTCCGACATAAACATTTGAACCCGAAGTAAAATGATGGCTGGCTGCTTTTGTTAGCAGTTTGATGAATTGCGGCAGCTTCAAATATTACATGTTTGTTTGACAGATGGTAGACAATTGTGATGCCACATCTGTTAGGTCTTAAAATCTGAAAAGAGAGAAGATGAACAGCCATCTTTGGTGAGTATAAGCACCAGAAAGCCAGAGCACAATCAGTCCCTAACCCATATTTCTGAAACTCTCACAGAAATCGTTTGCAGCAGAAACATGAAGAACACAGAGAAAAATTGAATGAAATTAACAGAAATTAAATGGAAGAAGACCAAGATTTTTTACGTGGAAAACCCCTAAGGGAAAAAACCACGGGATCTTTTCGATCCAGGAAAAACACTTTCACCATGAATAACAGTAGGATTACAAGTAATTCTTCTCAGCAAAGGCTAAGAGCAGCAATTGACATCTTCTTACACAAGGAATCTCTCACTCTATTTGTATTTCTGAAAGTACAATGGAAAAGAAAATCCTGACTGTCTCCCCTATTCTACTCTACTATGATTCACACTAAAACCAAAGAGGTGACAAGCTTTTATAGACAATGAAGCTCGGAGCCCTTCATCAATTGGATTCTTGTTGGATAGAGCTTCAAGTCCGAATAAAGCTTTGACAAATTTAGAACCAGGATAGAGTTTTGAGACTGGATAAAGCTTCGAACCTGTATAAACACCAAATTGAATGAGGCACCCAACAATATCCTATATTGGTGTGTGTGCATATATATTTCGATAAAAAACTCTTAACGCTTTATTAAATAATTTTAATTAAATATTTTAAGCTAATATTTCAAACTCAACAAGTTACTAAGATAAATAGTTTTTGGGAATTATTAATGGTAAAAGAGTAACGATTCTATTGCAAAATGCAAAGGGAGTATTATAGACATCTATTTGAATTTTGGCCTTGACCAGGATGTATGCTGTTATCATAAGAATATGCAATTAGTTTTGATAATCGGAAAACATATGTGAAGCCTATACACTATTTAGGACAACTAATACCTGCCCATTTCCAAATATGAAAATCTTGATTAGCAACCAACATGCCATTGCATGGATTCAATAGCCTTGATGGGTTTCTACATACTCTTCTGAGTGACCGCACTAGAGCATTCGCATTCTAAGCCACCAAATGCTTAGTAAAATTGATTATCACAACTAGCAAGCTACATGACAAAAATAAAACATCAAAACGGCTTGATTAAGCAGTTGATTAGACAAAGAAAATGACAGAAACATAAATATAATTCCATGGAAAAGTGGAGGGAATACAGTTGATAATGGAGCAAGTGTTGTGGAAAATCAGAAAGGATGGAGGTGTTGACTGGAGTTGATGGAGCATCAAACGAAGGGATTAATTTAGCTGCAAATTGAAGTTAAAGAACCAATATCAACAAGTTGAACAAATTAAGGACCAGTCGGATGACTTAATCCTGTTTTTCATTCTTCTATAACCATTTCCAGGTTCAGCTTAGTTCAACTAGTATACAAGCATCAACAAAAGTTTTCAACAAGGTCATATTAGATAAAGACATTGCACACTTTATTATTAAAAGCAAGATCAATGAATTACTATTGAAAATTCTCACTAATTAAGGATAACAAACAGAACCGGGAACATTCCCATCAATGAAAAGAAGGTAGATATTCGTTTCCCATTTTGAGCTCTTTTCCTTTCAATCAATGTTTATAATTAGAAACTGATTTGCCTGTGATTATCATGGATCACTTGACAAAATAAAAGAAAGAAAGAGGATAAAAATAAGCACTGTCCTTTTTATCCGGTTTCTCCTAGACAAGAACATTGTAGATGAAGTTAGTAAAATAGGTAAGCGTGAAATGTTTTAAAATTTTCTCTATCGTATTTTCTCTTCTTGCATATTTAATTCTGGTAGCATAGAGCCTAAAACCTGGAAAGTACCAAATAAATTTTTTAGCTGGAAGAAAGATAAGAGAAGCAAGAACAAATGGATCAAACATTTAAGGGTTACAGGTACTATGCACTGCTTCCCTTACAAAATCTCAGTGAAATAAGCACGTGGACCTAGTTTCTTTTTCGTATCTAATCTTCATAATATACATCAATAAGAAGAAATTAACTGCAATACCTAAATCACATATCTCAACTCTATGCTTAATTAAACAAATCTGGCTTGTGTCCTAGAAACCTACAAATAAAATAAGAAGACAAATCATTTTGGACATAAGAAGAGAATACACTAAAAATAGAAAATGTTTGAAGCGAGAGGAGAGAAAAGAAAAACAAAATCCAAAACACCAACTGGAAAATTGAAGACTTTTTAAAGGGAATCAAGTGTTGAACTTGGAAGTTACCAGCAAGGACTTAACCTGCACTCTTTAAACTTGCTAGTGGTAGAAGGAATGGAGAAATGGAATGCTGGTGAGATTTTCCAGCTGCCACTTTGGAAGAAATCTGATTTTCTGGTAGTTCTTTGTTTGAAGAGAATTGAAAGCTTCTGAAGTATGAACTCTCCGTTTGATCTTTTACATCTGCATTGTGGAACTATTAATACCCAAAAGCTATGAAATAAATAACTCAATAACTACAGATAAAGATTTGGGGAGAAGAAACATAGATTAAATGGTTAATAGTTAATGGAAACCTGTGGAGATCAAAAGTTCAGTGGATAATGTTAACACAGATGAAGATGCATTTGTTCTAACTAAATTCATTTAGATTCTGGTGCAAATATGATTAATAAACTCGATGAGATAAATTGATGATTTTGTGTTTAGAATGAAAGTATCATATGTTTTACTGCTCCTAGAGAGAGGGGAAGGGAAGGGTACCTAAACTTGATTTTGTAGCATTATGCTTTAGCCTGATCTCCACCAATTCATGTTTCTAAAAAACCAAGATGTTATGCAAATGCAATAAAATTAGGTCAATTGCATATGTAATTTTTATAGAGGAACTCAGATACTTCCAATAGAACAAAAAGAAATAGATAATTCAAGAAAGCCATATAACATCCTTGCGCATTTCCTCTATCTGGAGCTTTCCAATGTGGGAAATTTTTGGCCATTCTAGCCAGTTCTCATGGTGCATCGTTTATTCAGAAGAGGGCAATCATAGATTTGCAATTCAACTAAATTGGGCAGGTGGTACATTACTTCTTGCTATGGCAAACGCGCTAGATTCTTGCAAAATGAAATGTCCAAATCCCAGAGAAAGGAAAGGAAACACCAAAATGGCCCCATTAAGAGATTGAGGAGACGAAGAAAATTACAGAAAAAACAGAATTTAATTT